TTTTTTTTTTTTTTTTAATTTCTTAAGAGATAACTAAGGTTTGGGCCAAAGGGCCTCTCAAGTCCATATTCTTTGCTTTACTTTAACTTAAACTCGGTCATTCTGGGTCCAAAAGGCCCAATGTACTGTCCTCTCAAAGATGGGCCTTTTGTTATTACTCCATTCTCATCTGAAATTCTGAAAACAGAAACAAGGCATTCAAAATCTTACTAACCCCTATAAATATTTTATCATGCAAGGATTAAATCTAACAAAATTTTCTCCAACTTGATCAGGTACTTTTCATCTATGCAAGTCAGTACATGTGCCCCAATTTGCATATTCTTAATTGTTATTATTTTTCAAAACAATAAACAAAAAGGGTCAATGGATTTGTATGCCCATTCCTTTGTGTACTTTGTTTTGCAAACACTGCAAAATCTTAGGATACTTTGTTAAGATAACACTGAAAATGCCATAAAATAATCCAAAGGATAAGCTAAGGGATTAACATTATGGGATATCTAGAAGATTCTACCTCGGTGAGACATTTATTTTATTTTCTCTGTCTTATTTGAATCTCTCACTTGTCTCCAAGGTCTCAAGTCTTGTCCACCTATAGCCTACTTATCAAAAGAAAGAAAGAAAGAAAAACAATTATAGTCCACCACTCCATTAGTTGGCATTATTATTTCTTATTATCATTTACAATGAGACTTAATTATTAGTCCTATTACACTTCTTATTTTTAAGAAAAAGAAGAGTGCATTTTTTTTCCTGCCCCAAATGATGCATAAAAACCCTGAAAAGTCTGACCTCCTCCACGGTTGCACTACTGTGCTTTAGGACAGAAGGGTACTTCATTTTATCAACAAACTTTGAAACTAAATGTTCATTTAAGGAAAATAACAGTTCATTAATGGTGATAGATGGCATCCCTAGAGGTCCCTCTTTTTAATGAATCAAAGAGGCTTTAGGGATTTGGTGGTCTTGTTGGAATGTGTTTTAATGCAATTGACTTCTCCTATGCAAATCATGCAATAGTTAATGTCACTGAGCATTTTGTTCTGCCCTCTACAACCAAGCTGGCCGTGGGTTCCCATGGAGCATAACTTTCTCAATGAAGTATAAGTTATAGAACTTCTCTCCCTCTCCCCCCTATAAAATCGAAAAGAATCAAAAAACATGCATCTTACACTATTTTAACCATGTAAGTAAATCCTAATCAATTCTAAAGATTATTACAAATTTGTAGATATGAGATCTTAATTAATAACATTCTATTTTATTTCATCAATAAATATTGAATATTCGTGAATCAGTCATTAAACCTGACAAATTTAAAAATTATTCCTAAATTTATTGTGTAATAAAGAATGAAATGCAGCTTGATGCTTAGAAAGGGAGTGCCTATGTTTAGTTATCACAAGTGTTATGGGAACTTTGTGCATTAATGGCTAATTTGGTTGCAAGTCATTTTCTAAGTAGGATTAAGAGACCCAATTTTCCAATCCTTCATCTAATTAAATATGCTTTATATGTTGAATCCCTCTGATTCTTCACCAACTATATCAAGAAATTTACATCCTTGTCAACAAACTAAAACCATTTGAGTCTCTTAGAAAAAGATTAAATAATCAAAATAATGACTAAAATTTTCAAATTTAAATCTAAAAAATGTTGAAAAATTTCTACTAAAACATACCCAAATGAGAATGCTACCCTCACTCTTCATCTAACTAGGGGAAAACCACTCTCCAATTATGGCTCACCATTCATTCATTTCTTAGTCCCTATTGGAGTGTGTAACTCATGGGCCTATAGTGAAAGTGGGCCTAAAATCATTCCCAGACAGTGATACTGATTTTTTTTTTTTTTATATTGGTTATTACCGCACTCCTACATTTTCTCCTTGTTTTTGGTCACTTTCCTTCCTCTGTCTCACTTTACCTTCTCTCTCTAGAGAAAAAAGGAGCCTCTTTTACTTCAAGTTCACAGAGAGAAGGAGCAGGGTAGGGTTTTACTCTTTACTTTCTCTCTCTTCACCTGAATTGTGAAATTCTCAAGGAAGATAAAAAAACAATTCTTAATTAGACACCAAACCAATCCTAAAGGAGCTCACTTTTTCCTTCTTCATTCATCTTCTTCTTTAGCTCTACTCTAACCCTAGCTGTTTCTCACAGAATCTGTCTTTAATTCTTTGTCCATGTTGAGCACAATTATCTGCGGCAAATCCTAGCTTGAGAACCCACGTGAAAGAAGACCCCTTTTTCCCTAGTTGAAGACCCAGAGGATGACCCATTTGTGCTGAATTCGACATCATGCTGTTGCCCATTAAACCTACTCTGCTGGAATAGGTAAAATCCCAGTTTCATTGCATCCTGCATTGCTGTCCTCCTTCTGGTTTTAGAATTCCTTGTTTAAAACTCAAAACTTCTAGTGTTCATTTCTTTTGAGAAATTGCGATCTGATGGGAAGTTTTATTTTATTGTCATTTTCTGCTTTATGTCATTTTGTACTGATTTGCTGCATGTGCTATCATTAGGTAAGGGAAGGAAGCCATGGAAGGGGATGGGGTTATATTGGCTTGTTTAATTTCTGGGGCCCTTTTTGTGGTTTTGGGGTCTGCTTCCTTTTCGATATTGTGGGCTGTTAATTGGCGGCCATGGCGGATTTATAGGTAATTCTTTCAAAATTTTAGAACTCAAATTTTGTTGTCCTGTTTAATGTTGTATTTGATTTTTTTGGTATATAAGTGAATTTAAGAATGCACTGTGATGTTATACATTTGATTAATGATTTAGTCTGGTGGCTTTATTGTTACATTTGTAATTAATAGACACGTGTGATTGGTCTCCTCTGGACTTGTTTGTTGTATAAGATAATGTTGATGACTCATGGCAGTAAGAGCGCATATGGAAGGTTATTCTAGTAACAATTTTCCATCTGTAAACCATACTAGATGATTTTTATATGTTATTTATGACAATGCAGTCCATTTTTTAATGCAAAATGATGTGAAAATGGTGCCATTACATTCTTGAAATTTTTTTCTCTTTTTTGAAATGTTGTTAGTCTGTTCATAAACAGCCTTATGGCCATGAATTAGACGGGATGGAGGTTGCTATATGATAGAAGAGAAAACAACAACATCAGTGATGATGTTTGGTATGTTTAGCCATTTACACACTAATTGACATGAACTCAAACAAATACAGATACATAAGCTTTTGTTGATGTGCATAGAGAAATGTAAAAAGGAAAATAAAAAAACTCGAACTTCATTAAAAGGAACAAGAAAAAAAGGGAAATACTGATGGAATGATACTTAGGTTGTAAAATATGTTTGATGTGGTTAAGAAGATGAAGAAGGGAAGAGTTTGGGTGGTCTTAAAAAATGAAACCTCTAGAAATTTCATGTTAAGTAGTAAGCAATGCCTTTTTTCTCTCCTTTATTTTTGTCTTTTACTAATTGTTCTTAAAACCTTTTTGGTTGGCTGACTGATTATTGTATTGCCTTCTCTGCCGTTGGAAGTGCAAGTGTCGCACCTGAACTTCAACATTCTGCCTGAGTTTTTTCTTGGGTTTGGTTTTAAAATGTCATCACTACAAGTACAAACTCTATGGCTAGTTTACCATCTTAAATCTTAGATTTGGTTATCACTGGTTCTGAAAGTAGTATCTCTGAAGACAAAAGCAGTATTCAGTATAGATTGAATATTTGGAAATAGCATTGTCTTAGATTAAGAGTTGAAAAGATTTTGAAGAACCAAAATACTGGCTGAAGAATGTTAGATATGTCCTTTTCTACTGTATTAGATAGTCTTTATCCTGCATCTCTTCATGCACACCTTTAGTACTCCAATGTATGTAAGAATCTTCCGTTCTATTCTTTTATGTTTGTAGTTTTTATTTGTTTTGATCCTTTAGGCATAATATTGTTTCCCTAAGCCTAGTTTTGTCTTTTTCACAATGGTTTCTTGAGTTAATATATATGCACTATCTTGTTACATGAAATAAAAGAAATCACATAGATGCTTTCATTCCCCTTTCAAAGTCTAGTTTTATTTCTTGTCATTTCTCTCTCTGTCTCTCTTTCTGTGTTTTTTTTTAATTGCTTCAATGCTTGCTTCCCCCCCCCCCCCCCCCCCC